TGCTAGACCAGTTCAGCGCCGTTTGTCCACGAGTGATGTCCCAGCACGCTACAGAACTCCTTCTCCATCACGTCATTCCGCCTATGAGTATAGAGAGCAGAATGTTTCTTCTTCTCCTCTGAGACAGTCCTCCCCTGAGCTTAGGACTAGCAAGAAGAAGGAGAAAAGGAAAAAGAAGAAGGCAGCGAGACGGAAGGCAAAAGCCAGTTCATCACACTTGTCAGAGGAGCATCATGTTGAGGATCTGACCATGGATCAAGCTGAGGATCACATTGAGGACCTGACTGTTGATCCATGTGCGTATCATTTCCAAGACCTCACCAGCAGAGGCTCCTCCTGTCCCGCCTGCACCAGGTGCTTATACAAGCGAGTCCATAACTCAATACCTGGATTGCTATTTTCAGTAAGGTACCACTCCAAACCTTCATCTGTATATACCATTGCATTTTCATACTTTTGTTTGTTTGATTCTCAAACCAACTCTCAAATTTTTATTACACAAGAGACTGTGTAATTTAAGTTTGGGGGAGGGTTTGGGATGACATTTGATGTTTTGTTCTCTTTTCTTATTTTGAATTTTTAGCATATAATTTGCATTCATATATGTGCATTGAAAACCCCTAAAAATTTGAAAAATTTTCAGAAAAAATCTTTAAAAACAGAGTGATCATGTAGCTTGCATTTACGTATTAGGATTGAGTCTAGATTGTTTCATGTAGGACTGTTGCATTAGCATAGGGGGCGATGATGAGTTACACCTTGTTGATTTGCTATGATTCACTAGTTGAGATCAATGCCCTGGTTGTTAGCTTTTTGATGCATGATGATTGAACTTGAAGTAAGTCTGAAACAAACTTGGAATTCATGAAGAGCATTCTTGAACTTGGTTGAAACATGTTGTGATATGATCTCATTCCTTACCCTATAAGAACTTAATCTTGACTTGCAAATATCTGGTTGTGTTTTGCTTGCATGCTCATGGTCACCATATACATATTTGGATCATCTTCCTTCTTTCACCACTCTTGTTGATCCAAGTAGCTGATCTTTCTTTTGATCAGTTTACCACACCCACAACCTATCCTTTT